GGCCGTTCGTGGCTCGCAACGGGAACCTGCGCAGCACCGCGGCCGTGCAGGGCCTCGGAACTTTTTGTTTTCGAGAGCAAATTCTCCAAACTTCTTCTTTTACTGGTCTCGGAGTAGGGATGCTTTTTAAAACTGAGGCTATTTAACGTTTATGGTGTAATTTGGGTGGGATATTGGTGTGCTAAAGGTACTGAGCAACAAGTAGTGTCAGGTGAAGTGCTACAAACAGCGTTTAAATCTCACAGAACAGTAGATGCTGCTTGCTTGTGCGCCTCTTCCCCTGAAACTGCGCCTGTCTGTCTGACGCATTGAACTTGACACTGTGTGCACAGTCAGAGAAACCTTTTACATCAACTTGTGGGTAAATCTAAGTACTACAGAGCTGTAGCTTGGCAAAGTGGCCTTTTTAATCACCTAACAACTCTAAGTTATTTTGAAATTCTGGGAAAATTGAAGTAAAATAGCAGGAATCAAAAGAAATTGAAAGTAATACAGGAAAAGGCTATGGGCGTCTGCGCTACTTGTGTGTCAGCAAAAATGACCTCTCTAGCAGATCTTACAGGAGGGAGAAGGCTGGAAAATGGTAATTGCTTGATATACCTCTTTGTTGTAGAGAGGAATCATGGTTATGCTGAAGATTTCATCTTTCCTTGCTGTCTATGCCTTGGTTGTGTGCCAGATGGACAGCTTCCAGGCAGTCCCAGTCAGGTAAGAAGTAAAGATGTGGTGCTGTTGCTGAGTGCTTCATCTGAATGCGATGGAAATACTTGTATTCTGTAGAGATGTAAAGAAACAGACTATAGTAAATGAGAAAGCTGAGTTATTTTAATACTATTTGTGATACTATGTTTTTTAATGACATAAAACACTTACGGCTGTGCATGAGTATGACGTGTGTATTCACATCTATGAAAGATGCTGTCAACAGTACACGTGATACCACTTCTCAGCTCCTGCTCTCTGCAGTGGTACTTGTCACGTTCACCCTGTTTTGCTTCTCTCTGCCTAGACCTGGCTTGGAGTCTGTAACGGACCGAGTGACGCTAAGCGATTACGAAGCTCGGAGATTATTAAATGCCCTGGTGAAAGAGTTCATACAGATGACAGCAGAAGAGCTGGAGCAAGCCTCTGAGGGGAATAGGTAAGGACGGTGGTCCCAGGGCTGGGAGGAGGGCAGGGGACCACATGTCTGATCTGTACAAGACCCTCTGCAGGCTGAGACTTCCCTGTCTCTGGGGTCATGGGCAGCTCTGCTCACTGACTCTGCAAAGAAAGCTGCTGCAGAGACACCCTCCCTGCTGGTGTCAGGGGAAAGGCTTCCAACAATTAACCTGCTTCTGTCTGTCTCACAACTGAAAGTGCAGGGCGATTTGAGCTCGAATGAGGGGGTTGTGTTAAGATAGGACAGCAAAAGGTACGTTTCCCTAGCGGGAGCGCTAGTGGCTGTTGAGCCACCCTTGGATTCTCTGTCGTGCAAGTGCATGCCGTGGTTGGGCACGGAGAGCCCGGAGCAGGAGCGGGTGCTGCTCCTCCCCGTGCACGCAGGGCGACAGCATGTGGAGCGTTCGCGTGGCCCTCGCAGGGCGCGTGCCGCGGAGCATGCTGGCGGTGACGAGGCTGAACAGCATGCTGAGCACCCTTAAACTCAACCCCTGACTGAACAGCATGCTGAGTACATTGAAACTAAAAAAAGCCTGTGCCCTAACTGCTAGCAACTGAAAAGCTAATTAACCTGCTTTTGGAATGGAAGTCTTATTGAATTGATGGAAAAACAGTGTATTCCTTCAGACTGCATTTGTATGGACCTTCCTTGCATGGAATGTGATGTGGAGGGGTTATTTTCTTTCAGTTTTGTTTGTCTCCTAACTGTAGTTAATCTTCTAGGGAAGAAATGCATGATCATGCATGTTTGAGACTATTCTTTTGGGCATGTTTTCTTTCCCCCTGCAGCCTGGATAGACCCATTTCCAAGCGCTGTGCCAGTCTGAGTACTTGTGTGCTGGGCAAACTGTCTCAAGAATTGCACAAATTGCAAACTTACCCTCGCACTGACGTCGGGGCTGGAACTCCTGGAAAGAAACGGAGTGTGCTGAGTGACCTGGACCATGACCGCTATGCAAACTATGGGGAGCCCCTGGGAGACAACTAGACACCCTTAATTCTGCCCTCTCCCCTTTTTTAACTCGATGCATGTGGATCTAACTTTGATTGTTAACTTTGCTATTTTCTTTTGGTTCTGGTTTCGACAGAGAATGTTTGAGGTGGACCAAATGTTAGGAAGCCAGAGTAGAAAACATGCCTATCAGACTAGGGGGAAAATAAATAAGAATGAACAGCATTGCCTTGAGATCTCAAATGATTTTTCTTAGACATTCATTTAAACAAACAAAAAACTAGATGAGGCTTTTCATTTCTGGCTACTAAATGTACAAGTAGACTTTTCTTTCATACCTGCCCATGCACTTACTCAATAAACCTATTTTTCTATAAGGATTAGATCTCTTTGTTTTAATTACTTGCTCTAGATCATGAGATTTCTAGATAAGGCTAGAAAACTTTACAAGTTGTCTTAAAGCTACAGAGAGACAGTGCAATACCAGTAACTCAAGAATAGCTGCAATAGGCACAGAGAGACAGTGCAATACCAGTAACTCGAGAATAGCTGCAATAGGCAATACAGTTTTAAATTCTTTGTACTTTATGTAGATATATAAAGTACAAAGAATTTAAAACTGTATGTAGATATATACATGCATTCATAGGCATACATGCATTCATATGCATTGGTGTAACTGGGCAAGCATATAACGCTGTTAGCAGAGCTTTTGAGAAGCAAAGGAATTGGAAGAGGCTCAGTTCAAAAAAATCTTGAAATATAATCCTATTCAAAACTGAGTACTGAACACCTCCAGGTAAGAATTTAGTAACTATTTTTTTTTTTTCATTCTCATTCTATGACAGGTCTTTATACTAGTACATTCTAGGTCCAAATATCTTTAAAATACCACATGGGTAAACCAGAGCTTGGGGGAGAAAACTTTTCTTGTAATACTTGTGTAATGTATTAGCTTGTATCTAGAAATGGCACTTTCATTGCTGTTCCTTGAGATTATTACTTTACTGTTCTTCTTTTGCAGCACGTCTCTTGTAATCAGAGGCCTGTTCCAAAATGGCTATGATGTTCTCTAATGTGCGTTTAAACCAAATCCTTCCACCCTACCACCCAAGAAAAATCTTTAGTAGAAAACCCTGTCAAGCAGGGATAGTATGAACACATATGTCATGAAGTCCCCCATCTAACAAAATAGTTACACCTGAGCTATAGGCACAGAACCTGTGTGCTAAAGTGCTGCTATTATGGGACTCAGGTCCTGACCTGATATGTCAAACCCAGCTGTTGGTGCTTGCCCTGCTGCTGGAGGAAACCAAAGATCTAAACCCCAGAGGAAGGGGACATGGGTTAGAGCCTTGGAGCTGGACATCCTTGGCACCACTGTCAGCCATACCTTCTTGTTGGTGGCAGGGTACAGCTTGGGTTGCTGAAGGCCTAGCTGATTTAAGACTTCAGTCTAATTGCTCAAGAAAGAGGGCTCAGCTACCTTTCCTAAACTGATGGGGAAGAAGGGGAGAGAGGGATAAAACACAAACAAAAAACAGAGCTTGTGAGCTGGGCAGGCTGAGGCTGGCAAAGCCCACCGCACAGTAAGCCTGCTTACTCTTACAGAACAATCTTTCCCAGCCTACAGTCCTTACTGAAGTTCTCCTGCATTCAGTAGAGGTATTTGGGACCTAACTTGTTTTCCTTCTGAAGCAGCGTGACGGCCCAGAAGAGGGCATGCAACACGGCCACCTGCGTAACCCACCGCCTGGCCGACTTCCTGAGCCGCTCGGGGGGAGTCGGCAAGAACAACTTTGTGCCAACCAACGTGGGCTCCAAGGCCTTTGGCAGGCGAAGAAGAAGCACTCAAATCTGAACGGCTGAATGCTAAGGTGAAGCTGGTAAATATGTTGCAATAATACGCATAGAGTCTGCAGTCTTTAGAGTTGGTAGTGTTTTAGTTCTGCTGGCTGAGTTGCAGGCTTATGGTGACCATCTCATTAAAAACTAGGCAATTAACAATAAAGTGCTAAAAATCTAGCTTGCTTAATCTGTGAAAAAGAGCTTTCATAGATGTACCATTGAAATAACTAGCTTCACAGGGTCCTAACTAAGCAGAACAATTTGAAAATATTTATTCATTTTTATCCATAGCATTCATTATCAACATTCCTGTAACTCTGGATTTGTGTCTTTCAGATTGTCATGAAACTGAAAATCCAACTTTCATTTCTAACAAAAGAAACTCTTCTCCATAAATCAAGACAGCCAAAAAGAAGATTAATTTTGCATCCTAATATTGAAAATGTTTTGTTTAATACAAAGGAAAATTCTTCTGTTAATATACAGTAAAAGAGATTATAGTTATTCAAGTTAAATTATTGTATATTCTTTTTATATGCAATTCTATTTCAAATAAAATGTGACAGCATCTATTATTTATTTATCTCGTAGCAAATATGTGATTCATGCTATTTATTCTGGCATTACTGCCAAAACTCGGGGATTGTACTAAATTGCTGCCTGGCAAGGCATAGGTGTATAATATGGTGTGCTGTGCCTTGATGTAAAACACCTAACCTGATTGTAAAGTATGTTTAAAAAAACAAAAGTCACTATTGTATCACTTGTGAATTTAAGCAGACATTAAAAAAGTATTTTAGATACACTTGGGCTGAGAAACTGACTTTTCATTTGAACACTCTTACTAAAACACTTGATGCTAATCTAGCCTCATTCCATTTCAGATGGCGTATAGGTCTGCTAGAGCCTTATTACCTACAAACTCTATCATTTAAGTTAGAAATTCAGAACAGGAAAAACACTAGCTGCCTCCTTTTTATAAATGAATAGCTCAGAGTTGTAAATCACAGATACCACTATGGTAGACTTTGACTAGAAAAATAAGAAAAAAAAAAAAAAAAGCTGCGGCTCCATTCAGTAAACTGGGGGAGACAAGCTGCCTTACATACAGGTAAAGACGAAAGGCCTTAACAGGTGATATACACAAGATGAAACAGCCTAAGGTGTTTAGCAATGTGGGGAGGTGGGTTGTGGTGTTTCTACATTTGAAAAGGTGAATGGGAAAGAAAAAGGAGCTACAGCAAAGTCCATTTTTCTTTTCATGAGACAGATTCTATTTAGGGATCAGGACTAAATGATTAGAGTGAGTGGAGAAGAGGGTAGCTGGAACAAATCCATGGCTTTCTAAGTGGTGTTGCCAACTTCCTCCTCAAAGCTGCTGCTTTTTCAGTTTAGGAGCTGAGTCAGATATTTGTTTGGATGTGGGTTGTGTTCCACAGCTGGACCTGCTTCATTAGTTCAGATGAAGATCACCTTACTGTGCAAAGTAGAGGTTAAGGCTCTCATGATATTTCTGTCTGTCTTTGCTGCAGGTGTAATAGCGGGAAGAGAAGTCCAGTCAAGCAGACGTAGCCATAGCAGTAACACGGTCCCCTGATGATACTTCCCACTTGTTCACTTGTGGCTATGATTTTACACCTTTGGGAGCGTCTCAACCCTGGTAAGTCAGTGCACAAAGCAGAGCTTGCAGGAAAATAACACAATTTTAAAGAAATTTCAATTTCTAAATGCATAAAGATAAGGGGATCTTCTCTCAGCTTCAAATTTTGTTGCCAGATATAGTCTAGTGCTGCTTCCCATTTTTCTTGGAACTATCTGAAATTGGCAATAGCTTGGCATGGTGTTACTAGTATGGTGAGTCACTGCTCTGCATTTGGGATTTGCTCTGCCTGCAGAAAGTCCAGTAGTGAAATTTGGAGGCAGGAAGTATTTCTCCCCAGGTTCCAGGTGTCTATTCAGTTTCCTCTGCACGCGCTGTGGGTCACGTCCAAGTCAGGCAGGAACGCTCACCTCGCTGATGCCCTGTCACGGCAGAGTCTCCAGGTGTGGGCACTCTTGTTCTCAACTGCACCAGGTAACAGCTTAATCTGCTTGCAGTTAAAACGCCTGCATGCGTTTTGGGAGGAGTACATATGTGAAATGGTTTGTGCAGTAAGAAGCCAGCCAAGGCTTTTTTGCTCCTTAATATCTAAAACTAAGCAGCTTGTTGTTCCTATTTACAGTCATCATTTGATGAGGCATGTGAGGCTCTTTCATGTACTTCTATAGCAACTGGAATCTTCTTTTCTTCTAAAACTATCAAGCCTTCTATACAGTTTAACAAACTTATGAAAATTTTCAATTAGTCACAAGGATTTCCTCAGACTAGTATTCTGTGCCAACTGCAAAATTAAGAGCCTACGGCTCCTGCGTGCAAGCAGAAAGAGTCAAAGAAGTCTTCTAGTCCTGTAGGAGTTCTTGACAAGGGAGCTTCCAGGTGGTAGCAACTTCTGCCAAGATTCATCCTGCTCATTAATAAGCTCTCTATGTCAGAAAGTATTTCAATACAGAAAATGGAGATTCTAGTACCTTTGGGTATTGGTTCTTTTAGTGACCTTTTTGGAGAAAAAAATTATCAAACTTTTAGTACTTTGTTTTTTCTTCTTGGTGAGAAATATTTCCTTTCATATCTCAAAATCTTCTCCTATAGTAACTTCCCTATCAGCATGGCACTGCATCAAATAAGTTCCAGGTCCACAGAGAGTCATAGCACTACAGAAGTAAGGGCAAGGGGGAATTTAGTGAGGACTCTTCTGTCTTTTTCTGTGATGCGAAGACATAAAGATCCTTTACAGCAAAACTCAGTTGCTCAGAGCTTTAGGGAATAGCAGGTTATTACTCAAAGAAGACAAAGTTAGAGGTAGACAGCCTTTTTTTTAACATTAAAGTTGTGGATATGGCAAAAGGAATTCAAAACCCATAAGAAGCTGTTGATTGTTTTGTCTGACTTTGTGAACAACTGGAAGAAATTGAGAAATTGCTTCCATTTTTCAAAGTCCTATTCTTAATAAAATTTCCCAAATTTGTTAGTTCCTAAAACAAACAAACAAACAAAACCCCCTGAACTTCAGGAAAAAAATCTGAGAATTAGCATGTGATATGGAAAGTTTCCAATGTACTTACCTTCCTACTTTAATTTCATTGCTATGCTAAACATATTAAGTGATAGAAAATAAAATGCTAATGCTGTATGTGTGAGAATTTTAAACACAAGTTATTCAGTATTTGCTAGCAGCAGCCAAGATAATACAGAATAGTCATATATGTGTTTGCAATCTTGATTAAAGTTGTATTAGTCATGCCTATATTTTGTTTCTAATATTTTTATGTGTTGTCGATCTGAATTTTCTTCAATTTTGTGTTTTTTTTTTTTTTTTTTAAGTTGAAGGTTTTGGGAAGAGAACTTAGTGAGCAAAGGCAAAGGGGTAAGAAATTTCGGAGAAACAAATACGTGAAGGTAACTTCCTGTTGACTCTCTTCATGCCCCTGCAGAGTCCGGGGGCTCTTATTTTGCCTGTGATTTCGTAGCGGTTTTGTTTTCCAGCACAGACACGAGCAGCAGGATCACGCGGGCGCAGGGAAGGTGATGGATTTAGCCCTGTCCTCCGCTGTCCCGCGGGCCGGCCCCTTCGCAGGGACAGGCAGTAAAAGGCACCACCTTGTGGCCACCGCAGAGGCACCGTAGGGGTGTGCAGGGACCCTCGTCCGCCAAAACACTCCCGTGCCTGCCCCGCTTCTGCCCGGCAGGCGGGTGCGGAGGCTGGAGACAGAGGTGCCGCAGAGGAGCTAACAGCAGGGCCCTGTGCCTGCCACCAGTCTGAACAGAGGGGTGAGAGCAGTTCACCCGTGCACTTCTTCTAGGGCACAATGGGCCCTAGAAGGCACAAATGGCCTCCTGCTCCTAGATCCAAATGATGCTTTGGTTCAGGATCGTGAACCAGGACACTGTGGTCGGTAGTGATAGAGCATCATTTTGAAGCGACCTAAGCGGATTTTCACTGTGCTGCTCTTCTGCTGGTTTGATTCCTTTTTGCCTCTTCTGCTAGTGGAATTTAATTCATCTTCCTGAAAGCTTCCATCATCTGCCGTGTAAGAAAAGAGCAGAGCTAATGCTATTGCTTCTGACACTGAGCACTGCCAAAAGCAACTTTTAGCAGGCAGCAGTAAATTTTAGTATTGGTTATCTAATCCAGCATTGTCATGTATAATTAGCAGATTGAATGTTGGATAGTTTCTAAACCCTTCTGGGTAATTTAGGACTGTGGATTTCTATTTTCCTTTCTATATGGATGTATTGAGCTATTGCTGAAAAGGAGTATTCCTGTTATAGATGGATTTGGGCATTTTAAGACTGATTTCAGCAGTGTTGAGCGCTGACAATTTCTGTCCTAGCTGGTCACATTTATTCCTTTGGATAGCCAGGTGCATGCTGCTGATGGTGCTGGAAGGGGGACATGAGGCACATATATCTCTGTCCTTTTACTGTTCTAAAATATATAACATCCTTCCTGAGCTCTGCACAGAACTGTTGCTTTGCATGCTCCTTATACCTTTTACATTTCTCCTCTTTTGCAGAACGTGTCCAAAGAATCTCAGGAAGTAATTTATGCCAAGCATCGCAATAGCTTCTGTAGGAGCTTTCTGAACCGTCCCAGGAGTAGTAAGAACCATTGCAATGTTTCTTTTTTATTTCTGTTCTTGGCTTTATCACACTTTGTGCTATGCACCCATTACTCCTTTGGCTGGGGTTGAGGTGTGATCCCTGCTAATTTATTAGTTTCACTTCCACAAAGGCAAATGTGGCATTTACAACTCTGAATGCATCCCTCTGGCAGCCTTTTTCTCTGTAATATGTGAGCAAACACTCTTCAGTCCTACTTATTACTTCATTACACTCAGATTAGTTTTCCACAGAGGTGATTACACTGGTTCTAGGCCACTTTACATTTACTGCTGTTATGTCATATTTCTTCTTTTCAATGTCTTTTCCTAATAGTACCCTGTCACATTAGCACATGAGGCAATCTGGCATTGCATTCATCTACTCGATATCCATGAACTACAGTATATATCATGCACACAAGAAATTCATTTGATTTTCCCATTGCTCCTTGAGGGTTTGCAAGTCAATCTTCTATGAGCAAAGCACGTCGCAAGGAGTACAGTCATCCCTCGGCGAGAATCACGTATGGTAGAAACAGGGGCAACGCTCTTGCACAACTGCTGCCAGGATTGACACCAAATTTAAGTAGAAAGAGGGAACTGCCTTGGATTCAAACAGAGAAGGAGGGGAAGAAATGAGGACTTTAAACACTGAACAGTTTTTGTAAATGCATGGGCCAGGAGGTGCCTCCTCTGCACCCCTCCCTCAGCCCGGACCCCGTCTGTCCCCAGCCCGTGGGTCCCACTGACCTCTGCCGCCTTCCTCTCCAGCTTTCTTGCACATCGCTAATCGTGTCGTAAGCAACACTTCACTTCGCTGTACGGAAGACCAGAAAGTCTTATTTCTTGTCTTGCTCTCAGGCCATTTCTGCTCCATGACAGAACTTTCATCCTATGGCTCTTTAGAGTCTCTAAAGCTTCGTAGTAGCTTTGCAAACACTTTGAAAGTCCAAAGCAATTACCTAAGCCATATTCATTTGCCCATTATTCTGCTGACATGTTTGAAACGCTATTATAGGTTTCCGCCGTCTCCTGTTGTGCAGCGAGCCAATTATGCTAATTAGCACGTATTCCTAAAATAGTTCCACAGATAGATTATAAT